GGAGACAGGCCAGTACATCAGGAGACGTGGAGGAGGCCATAGGAGGGCACCAACCCAGCATCAGGACTGCTACCTCCATCTTTGTGCAAGGAGGGACAGGAGGAGCACTGCCAGAGCCCTGCAAAATGACCTCCAGCGGGCCACAAATGTGCATGTGGCTGCTCAAACGGTCAGAAACAGACTCCATGAGGGTGGTATGAGGGCCTGACGTCCACAGGTGGTGGTGGTGCTTACAGCCCAAAACCGTGCAGGACATTTGGCATTTGCCAGAGAACACCAAGATTGGCAAATTCACCACTGGCACCCTGTGCTCTTCACAGATGAAAGCAGGTTCACACTGAGCAGATGTGACAGATGTGACAGGGTCTGGAGACGCCGTGGAGAACATTCTGCTGCCTGAAACATCCTCCAGCATGACCAGTTTGGCAGGGTCAGTAATGGGGTGGGGTGGCATTGCTTTAGGGGGGTGCACAACCCTCCATGTGCTCACCAGAGGTAGTCGGACTGCCATTAGGTACCGAGATGAGATCCTCAGATCCCTTGTGAGACCATATGCTGATGTGATTGGCCCTGGGTTCCTCCTAATGCACGATAATGCTAGACCTCATGTGGCTGGAGTGTGTCAGCAGTTCCTGCAAGATGAAGGCATTGATGCTATGGACTGGCCCGCCCATTCCCCAATTGAACACACCTGGGACATCATGTCTCGCTCCATCCACCAACGCTACATTGCACCACAGACTGTCCAGGAGTTGGGGGATGCTTTAGTCCAGGTGTGGGAGGAGATCTCTCAAGAGACCATCCGCCACCTCATCAGGAGCATGCCCAGGTGTTGTAGGGAGGTCATACAGGCACGTGAAGGCTCGTTTTGACTTGTTTTAAGGACATTACATCAAAGTTGGATCAGCCCTGTAGTGTTTTTTTCCAGTTTAATTTTGAGTGTATCTCCAAATCCAGACCTCCATGGGTTGCTAAATTTGATTTCCATTGATAATTTTTGTGTGATTTTGTTGTCAGCACATTCAACTATGTAATGAACAAAATATTTAATAAGAATATTTCATTCATTCAGATCTAGGATGTCTTACTTTTGTATTCCTTTTATTTTTTTGAGCAGTGTATTTTAATGTATTTTGTCAGGGAGCCTTAGTACAATATACCTACCACATGTAGTTAACAAAATAAGGGAACATTTACTTCCTTTAATGTTTCCACTGTTACAGTCCTTGACTTAGAACCACAATGGAGTCTGCAAATTATGGTCATAAAGCAGGTCAACATGTGACCAACCAAATTTTACCTATGTTTGCAGTGGTTGTTAAACCAATTGTGGGGTGTTTTTGTTGAAAACTAGAAATATATGCCTATTTTTTTCAAAAATGTCATAAATCACAGCCATGACTATGGAGAACTGCAAATGGGCATCAGAATAGACTGGTTGTTGAAAATGTCATGTGACCAGGGGTGCAGCAGCCATTAGAACTTTGGAATCAGGCCTGAAGTACCTTTCTGGAGTCTGTCAAAACTTTGAATGGGTGGTAAACAACCTGCCTTAAGTCAAGGGCTAATGGTACTACTTATGCTATAATTAGCATATGGTAGGGAAAGGATGCAGTGTGGGTTCTGGAATCACATGACCAGAAAGAAAGGAGAGGGAGCTCAGAATGGGAGACTTCGCAACATTGAGCCCAGCTATGTCTTCAAGAAGTTTCTTCTAAACTTGATCCATCTTTTACTAACATCTTCCCCTTCTTGCTGGCAAACTTGGTCCTGTTTTCATCAGTTTTTGAAAAGTAGGCAGGATTACTTGCCACGTGAATATAGAGAACAACTACAAGAGCTACAGGAGCTACAAGTTGAATAGCTGACTCTGACAGTCAGTTACTAACTTTAAAGACGAAGAGGTGGAATAGAGTTATGATACAATCTAACACTGGAGATGTATTTTACTTTAAAATTTCTAAATTATTTTTGATCAAAACAGAATCAGTATTGTGCATGGACATAAGTTACACTATAGCCAATTCAATTTAAGGCAAGTTAACTACCTTCGCATAAATAAAAGAACTGAGAGATGAAAACTAAAATATAAAACCTTTTAATATGCATGAGCAGAAAAAAGCCTTCTGTAGTTCTAGAAATTCTCAACAGGGTATCAGTACAGAAACCGCCCTTTGATAGCAGAAGTGGAAAAATTCTCAGATCTCATTTGAAGATCATAATACATGGGTAGCTAGGTGTGTGGGGGAAGAGAAACTTTAGTTATTTAAAATTTGAGATTTTTTACTTGGATTCAGTTCTGCGGACTGGAGAGTTGCCTCCTTTTCTGCTGGACATTGTAGGATCCAGCATTTAAACAGGGTATTAGCATAACTATAATTCTTTTTAAGAAATACAATTTTAAACAAGATTCAGAATTTATTCTGAGAATTGGGTTAGAAAAGCCATAAAAAGCTACTTTGCACAATTTTATTAGTGAAACACAAAAACAGGATGTTCTATTTTATAGAAATAAGATGTTTTGCTTAAATCGACAACCTGAACTATATTCTCTACAATTTGTAGAATGTTCTTTACATACTACTTTAATATATACTGGATTTTCGGTATTTTTCAATATATATAGATCACAGAACAAAAATATTTTTCCCACTGGTTTTTCTTTGTTGAACCTTCCATTTCCTCCTCATTGCTGTTAAACAATATTCCTTCATACAGCCTCCATTTGTACTATTACTAATTCTATTTCCTTCCCCAGATCTTTAATAAATATTATGGTCTTTTTCTAGAGGTAAGATTTTCCTTCCTTCTAAAACATAAAGACAGAACTGATTTTACAGCCTAGATGGAAAACACCAAGCCAGTGAATCTTGCTCGAGTTGAGCTAAAGCTTGTTCTTCTCCATTTTGTCCCCCTCCAGGCTCTGGACTTTGAAAAATCACCTGAGACATATTATTACTTGGTTATCCTGGGGTAGATAACAATGTCATCAGAATATTGAAAACACTTTACTCTGGGCCAGCAAATGACCTCAGCCAGCAGCTTCATGTGCTCATTACTCTCGTAGGTCCAAAAGGATACTGCTATTGAAAGGTGCTGAAATATTAAGGAATACTATGGAGACCACACCACTTCCTTTTCTAGAAGTCACCCACAAGCATGAGCAATGATTCTGTTTGGTCCCATATCCAGGTCTGAAACTTAAGTGAAAGGGTCGAGATAATCCACTTCTTGAAGGTTCTCTCTTCAGCGCAACTCCCTTGCCAACAATCCTCCTTAGAAAGTTGGAGACAGAAAGAAAATGGTCCAATACGGCTGAGTCCAACAATGGTATCTTAATATTTCCCGAAGATGGATGATTCAGTACAAATGAAATTATGCAAGACACGGAAGACGACGACATTTTATTGAAAATAAAACTAGGCCTGCTCTTGTGTCAATAATAGTGTCACAATGAAAATATCTCTGGTTATTTACTTATAAATCTATACCATATCCTGATTATTGTATTGTACTCATGACTCATTTATTGTAATCACCTTTAGATTACAATTTGCCTTCTGTTCTATGCAATAACTGAAGGAAAAGAGACTATGTGATGAACAGAGGATATCTCCAAAGCTTACCCAACAAAATTACAGTTGATGTGGATAAACAAAAAGTTCTCTCTAAAGTGGTTATTCAGTCACACATATAGACCATAAGGAACAGAGTTTTTCTGAATTACTCTGAAACATTATTAATAGCGTAACAAAGAAAACCAGAACATAGAAAGCTTAAGAAAAAGAATCAGAAATGACAATTGTATCATTTATATCGTAATTGGATTACTCCTAGAATGTTTGGGAGATTTAAAATATTAAAGCAAATTATTCAATAATGTCAGTGTAGAAGTACCTCTCTTCAAACAAATGGGGAAAGAGAATTTAGGAGAATCTATTCCTCAAAATAGTCACAATGACTGTGGGCATTTGTGCTGAGTTACAATAATTTGCTCTGGCTTGGTTTATCTCATTTCAGTCAAATATTATTTGTTCAGAAAGTCATGAATACAACTAAGGGACTCATTCTTTTAACTCAGTAGGTTTCTTATAATGATCAAGTTAGTATAGCTAAGAATTTAACTCCAGTTCTAAATTGGAAGAAGAATTTTGTTCTAGGTGTAATACTTACCTAGTGATATGTCAATGGAAATTCTCAGTCATGGTTTTCCCAAAAGTGATTTTTCAAAAGGCAACTGGACTGTTTTTTTCCCTTGAAGACATTTTGCTTCTCATCCAAGAAGCTTCTTCAGTTCTGGAGAGGATTGCTGGTTTGAAAGAGGGGCCGATCTACATTAAGATTGAACAGCCCTTTCTCAACAGAGGGAGAGGGATACGATATTACCTATCTCCTGTTTACAACACAGTCATTTCAACAGTTCTAAGAAGGTTCAACACCACTTTGCACTATTCAGGTGACCCTGAGGGCACAAATAAATCTCCAAGTAACCTCAACGACTCTCAGGGTGCTAATGACCAGTTGACCGCAAAGAACACAAATCCTTTCATCCTCCACCATTTAGTCAGAACTGAAGAAGCTTCTTGGATAAGAAGTGAAACTTCTTCAAGGAAAAAACAAAGTCCAATTGCCTTTTGAAAAAGCACCTTCGGGATTACCTACTGGGAAAAAGCATACATTTACAGGGAAAATACCAACTGAAAAGAAATTCAACTTACAAGTAACAAGAAGGAAACGGAAGAAACGAGTAAGTTATCAAGATTCAACTACAGGTAGTCCTCAACTTACAATAGTTCATTTAGTAACCATTGAAAATTGTAGCATCTCTGAAAAAAGTGACTCATGACCAATTTTCATGTTTATAGCCATTGCAGCTTCCTCATGGTCATGTGATCAAAATTCAGACACTTGGTAACTGACTCACAGTTGCAATGTCCTTCTGACAAGCAAATTCAATGGGGAAGCTAGATTTGCTTAACAACTGTGTTACTAATGTAACAGCGGCAGTGATTCGCTTAACGACTGTGGCAAGAAAGGTAATAAAATGAGGCAAAATTCACTTAACAAATGTCTCACTTAGCAACATAAATTTTGGGCTCAATTTTGGTCATAAGGCAAGAGCTAACTGTATCACATTTTCAACTGAAGTGTCAGTGAAGCTGAACTAAACCTTATTTTGGGAAAAAATTGATGAGAGTTTATGTCTCTGTCTCTACCGTTTTCCTGCAATATGTTTCGTTTAGTGTACAAAATTTAATAATTGAATAGAACTCTCATTAAAGTTTCTAAGAGTTAAATAATCTTAACTGGAATTTTGAAATGGAGATCTGAGGGGATTCTTGGATTCCAATGGTTTTGCTTGTGGGATAAAATATTTAGTAGTAGCTACTTCTGATGTTTCTCCTTTTGAGTTTCCTGGTACAATAGTTGGAGAACTGATGTATATGTCGTATAACAAAAACAGATCTTTACTTGAAACAGGAAGAGTTAGGTAAAAAATTCATTTAAACTATAAGGATCACTAGATAACCTTTGGTCTATTAACTGGCTGTCACACACAGTAAGCTAAACCACACACTAACCAACCCCAATTTTGCCCAGAATACACCTGACATTTATTCAATACACTCGTATGCTCAGTTAGAAGTTTCAAACAAAAGTACTCTTCATTAATTTATTGAAGGGTCAGGTACATCAGTGCCATAGTTTCATGTGTGGTTTAATTTTGGGCTAATGTTTTTTTTAATATTTTTTTCCTCCTAGAATTAAAAGTTTGAATTCACTCTTAGTTAAAAGACGCCACCTGCCAATACAATATCAAAGAAAACTGAATATTTGCCTCAGACCAACAATATCTCTTTATCTGGAAAAAGTTTGCAGATTCCAAGGGATTTGTTCCAAATTTTAAAGCATTAAGCAACATTAATTACAAAGAATCTAATCATTTCTTATACTGAGCAAAATACATCTGAATGTTTTTGTTCAAATTTATCCTGGAATTATTCTGTTCATTAGACTTGAATGAAGGCAAAAGAAAACATTGTGGTAAAAGTAGCACCATCTTTTACAGCCAGTAAAGGAAAGAAACAAAAAAACAAGAAGCCCAAATAGTGAAAACAAATATCTCCAAAGGCATCCCTGTATATTTTGTATAGTTCCTGATAGGGGAGTGAAGCTCTTTGAATTTGATCTCCAAACGTGCTTCAGAGAGCTCTGGACTGCAAACACCTGAAAGCAGTTCCATCTTTTCCCTGTGCAACTGTAACAGGCCCAGGAAATAGTCACAGCTGTTCTAAATTATTTAAACAGATGCTACACTCATGCTCCAAAGCCCTTTTGAAAATAGGAATTAAGACTATGAAGCACATTGGATTGTGTGTTGGAGTATAGGCAATGAAACAGAAATGTGGATCAGGGGAAAAAAACCATCAAGGCCTATTGCTCTTTCCCCCAATCCTTCATATCTGTAGGCAAAAGATATAAATGAAGTTCTTTTCTTGAATATTTCTTTCTTCATCATTCAGGACAGTAACATAACTTGACAGCTGCAGAGATAACTCTCTTCTAATATAAAATATGAAGATGTGGATAATTCATTTGCAAGCAGAGCTATTGGTGTCTTTAATATAAATTAATACTCCCAAATCATAATTTATAAGGATTACCTAGAAAACTGGAACATAGAAACATAGAAAAACTGGCTAAAGGATTTTAGCACTGTAACTTCCATTCCATCCTATCCCAAGGACTGGCAACATAATAAATAACAGCATAATAAATCATCTGATGACCAAGCAGTCTTCACTGTGCACTTGTGCTGACAACATCTACCTAATGCAGATGGGTATCATTTATATCATCTACCTAATGTAGAAGATGATCCAGGTTGTGCTTAATCTGAGGAGATTACTTAAGGAAGTTGTCTAATTTAGTCTGATTGATGCCAGAAGCAGAAGGCATTATTCCTGTTTGCTTTGAAATAATTCTTTTCTTGTTCTTCATAGTCAGGGGCCGAATCTCTGTTGGAAAAGTCTAAAGCAAGTCAAGGAAAAGAGCCAAATATTTAAAGCAAAAATAGAATAGATGTCTAAAATACCTATGAAGGTTAGGAAAGCACCAAGTTAGGAAAAGCTCGTCTAGACTATTTCAAATGGGAACTAATTAGATTGTTTTAATTCTAGGTAACAATAGTAAAATTTTCTAGATTTATCTTCCCCCACGAACTATAGATGTTTATAGCAAGACCATTTGAATGAATTCAAAGCAATTATTACATAGAGATAATTTTCCTCTCAGTAAATTCCATTTTCCCAGCTGTTCCTGATGCTGAATAAATTGCAGGGCAAAACTATTTTGAATAAAATGTGTTCTCTAAATGTCTATGAAGATTCTCAGTCATCCAGGTCTTGGTTGACCCAAAGGTGCTTTTTTTCAAGAGGCAACTGGACTTCCTGGTTTTTCTTTGAAAACGTTTCAAAGAGGGGTCAAAGAGGCCATCTATGTCAAAACTGAACATCCTTCTCTCTACAGAGGGGGGAATACGACATCATCTATCTCCAATCTATAACACAGTCCTTTCAAAGTTCCAAGGCGGCTCCACACCAATTTGCACCACTCAGGTGACCCTGATGATACAGATAAACCTCCAGGTGACCTTAACAACAACCACTAAAAGAATGAGAATGATCAGCTGTCTGCAAGGAGTATAAATCCTTCCATTCCCCACCATCCAGCCAGAGCTGAAGAAGCTTCTTGGATGAGAAGTAAAATGTCTTCAAAGAAAATCCAGAAAGTTCATTTGCCTCTTGAGAAAAAAAACACCATTGGGACAAAATGTATTCTCCTTAAGTAATCTATATACCTCAGCAACAGGTCTAAAACTGGAAATCAGTCTTAACTTCTAATTTGTTAGCATAAAGGATACAGGCTGAATGAACTTGGTTCTGCCTCCTAAACCATCATACCCAATTCTTACCTAGAAAAGAGAATTTAGCAATTACTTTGAGGAAGATGTTAAAAAGGGTCAAATACTATTTTGATCAGGTAATTCTAATAATGCAGACAACAACATTAAAAATTTCTCTCCAGAACATCTGAACTTGGGTAGGACTGTGAAAAGACTCCAAGAAACTGAATAAAAATGTATGGATGAAGACATAATTTATGGGCACAGTATCACTTGTAAGGGCTTTAAAATTCAACATCAGACAGGCTGCTCAGAGTCACGAACACTTAGATAGGTGGCAAATAAATTTAATAAATAAATAAAAATAAAATAACTGTGTTCCAAAGGAAATTAAAAGTCAGTAAAAATGACACTAGGATGATATGGTCTACTCTAAATGTGAAAAATGACAGACTGGCCACATTTTCAAACATTATAAAGATGTATCAAGCAGCCTCAATCTTATTAAAATGGCAAATGTTGATATACAGATAGTGCCGGAAGAAAGAAATATGCTTTCTTTTCAAATAATGAAAGAAGTACCAGGAATGACAGCTACAATTAGATTCTTTTGTTGCACACTCTAATAGCAAACTGAACATTGTCAAGATTATTACTAAATCAACATGGTGATACCAATAAGGTTAGCAGAATTTCAATGTTTGTAGGTATTAAAATATTATGAGAAAAATTAAAATTCCAAGACCCAAGATCTTCATAATTTAACCATAGTATTGATCAGAAACCCTTAAACACTGTGCCTGTTGTGTTAATCACATTTGAATGATACTTACAATTCCTGTATTTTTCTGGGGTATGCTGTTTAGAACAGTTTTCTTAGTCAGGATTGACTTTCTTATAAAAGAAGGTAAAAGATCTTCTAGATGTTCATCATCTGTGTCAGTAGAGCAGTTCTGTTTTTTAAGAAGTTTAATGTATTAATACTTAAAACTAAAATTAATGTATTTCCATGTATACAATATTTAATAGGCAATGAGTATGTGGCAAGTCCAGTGTTGTGGCAAAGAAACCAGATTTTTCTAATATTCTTTGAGAAATCCATTTTTCTTTAAATAACAGCTTTAATGTTTTCAAAGTCAGTAGCTCCGGTCCCAGCAGATAACAGAAAACAGAAATCAGCAAATAAATAAATAAATAAATTCAAAGCTGGCTCACAGTATAGACCTCAGGCCTCAATCATAGCATTGATAGATATACCACCTAAAATGTGTTGCAGTTAAATCAATAATTAATGTTTAAATAAAACTATATTTCTATACAGCCTTGAAGGAGAATGAGTAGAAGCAATTATAAACAAACTCTATTACTAAATGTATTAATCACTGTACCTCCATTGTTCCTTTGACTCTTGATAAATTTGTCACAGATGCCCTAAAACAAACATATACAAAGAGCACAGTGTTAATAGTTGCCACTTAGATGTCCTAAATTAGTCTCATTCTAAGTCCAGAAAGTCCAGTTGTGTCTTGAAAAAGCACCTTTGGGATAACCATGACCGGGATGACTGAGAATCTCCATAGACATCTCATTCTAAGCTTTCACCTAAAAATAAGCCATCTGAAGACTAAACGAAAACCAGTGAATGCCATGGTGAACTGACCTCCCTAGAACAGAGGGACAAGACGGTAGCTGAAAATAACATCTGAATGCTGGATTCAGACTGTTGAAATCATTCTGGAGAAAAAAGGTATCTCCAGATTACCCACATCTACTCCAAACAGCTGCTTTTTTTTTTGCTCAGCAGGTGGCAGAAACTGTGTTTGTGGTCAGCTTGCAATAGGCTGGAAGTTGAAGGATTTCATCTAGTGTAAAGCTGCTAATGTAGCCTATATGGATGCTAGGTTTGGTCAAGGCACACCTCCTAATAATTTGGATTTAATTTTTTAAAAACTTCTTAAAAGATTGAGACCCTTTAGATTGGCAAGCCTTATTGAAAACACTGGGTGAGTTTTCTTCAATCCTTAAAAAAATAAGTTTTAACTACAAATTTAAAGATTTATCAAAAATAATTGTGAGAGAATATGTAGCAAAAGGATCATTGGCTTTAGAAAGTTTTAAATGGATTAAGATTTTTGAAGTTAATTGAAAGAATCCTTCCCTTGGGGAAATATAGGTTTATATTTAAAAACAACTGATGAGATAATCTTGAACGTTGAACACTAAAAGGCACTGAAAAAAATGGATCAACAGCTACCTTAAGAGAGACCTACGATGAATGGGCACAGAAAATTATAAAGTTATTTACTATGTCAAAAAGATTAGAAGACATAGAAGAGGAACGGGCCCCATTGAATAAAATTGAAATTGAATTGAATGTAGACTCAAAAATGATAGGCTACAAGAAAAACTGAATGGTTATTTAATAATTTAAAAAGACATACAGATATTAAACCAGAAGAGTAATATGAATAATTTCTCTGCATTTGTATTTAGAAGTAAGTTTACAAAACTGTCAAAGATTTTCTGAGAAGTGACAGTGAGAATATGAAGTGACATGGATTTTTTTTTCCTATTACACTTACAAAGAGGGTTTGATAAAAATGCCAAGGATTCTGAAAGAAGAGTCAAGGAGAATATGAAAAAGCCAATGTCAGAACTTTGTCTGAGGGAGCTAAAGACTGTTGGAAGAAAGAAGAAAAAAATATAAAATTGATTTATTTGATCAAAGTTAAACACATGAATTGCTATTTCTGGGAATGTTTAATGGCACGTTGCTTGGGGCTGGATGATGATGCTTTAAAGATTTTGTTTATATGAAGAGAGGAAACAGGGAGGTTTATTTAAATAAAAAAGGCAGCTATAAATAGAAAAAGAAAATTCAAACTGGGTTTAGCATATTGTTATTTGTGAAAACTTTCTGATTAAAGTTTATTTAACAAACTTTCTGATTAGTATGAAGCAATGAAGATTTAGAAACTGTTTTATAGAGAATAGAGTGAGGTATGGGATGAAGAGATGTTTGGTTTCACTATAAGAAAGACAAATGAGTTGCTCATTTTGATTATACTTGCTGTGAATGAAGGGGGGGATTTCTTATGCTTATTTTATTTTTTTGCCTTTCTATAAAACCTTTTTCTTTTCTTTTTTATATATTTCTATGCTAAGTAGATTGTATTAGTTCTAGTTCTATAATGTGATCTTCAATAAAAATTATTAGTTGGTTGAGAAGAATCACAGAAAAGAGGAATACCTAGGACTCACAGAGAAAATAAATGTTACTGCAATAAGCTCTGGCTTTTACTGTTCCTGCTCACAAAATAACATACAATCTCAACAACAACAAAGGATTCAGAACATCTCTTGTTTCTGCATTACAGCTAGTCTTCATTCTTTAGCTGAAGTCTAACAATCCCCCTCTCCTTCCTCTTGATTCATTCGTTGTGACAGGAATTGTTGCAGAACCTGATGTAATGAGCTTAGAGCGAGTGACTGGCTCAAAGTCACCGAGCCAGCTTTTATGTCTAAAGCGGGAAAGTTTCCTCATTTCTAGCCTGGTGTTTTAACTACTAAATCAAACTGAGCTAATTCTTAACATAGGGGAGTAAATGTACTCCTGCTTTTGCCTTTAGTGTTCTGCTGAAATACTGTATAGATAAAAGTCTGGTTAGTAATATATTAGTAAGCTGGTTTAGTATAGGAAATTTATGAGTCATAGATTATTTAGTATGAAATTGAAGCAACATGTATTTGTATCCTTCCATGTATAACTCTTTATTTTTTTCTATTGGGCTTCAATTATCTTTAAATAGTGGACTTGCAAGTTACAAATTGTTCTTTCAGAACTCTGTGATGTGAAACAATTGAGATGGCTTTTGTAAGACGTTTATAGAAATCAGAAAAATAAGGGCAATCATGTTTATAAATTCAGTTATATTTGAGTCATGTTTCTGCAGAGCTCAAGAATTACTAGATTACATTTTATTCCTAAAGCTTAGCCATAGAATTTTAGATGATTGAAAAAACTTGTTCATGGCATTCGCATCAAATGGAATATGAGGCAGATTGAGCAAATACAGGGATAATAAAAGTAAAGAAATTGTACTTACGAGTTTTTATCTAGCTTGATTTTTTTGGCAGGAGCAACAGCTCTCTTATGAGACTTTGGCGTATCTACGTCAAAAGTAGCATTAAGGTCAATCTCATCAGTGTGAACAGGTTGATGAAACTTTGGGTTCAGAAATTGTGCAGGAGCAGGGCTGTAAGGATCAATTATGCAAATATCACAACAGAGTATCACATGATCAATTGGATAACAACATGAGTGCATCCTTCTCTGCTTCTAGCTTATTTTCGCATGCTATCACCCTGAAAGTTAATACTGATAGAAAAAGGAAAAGGCCATACAAAAGAATAAGTGAAATTTAGAAATTTAGAAATAAGTCAATGAACAAGTATTATATGTTGGATCCTGGCTATGTGTATCTTTATACCCCATCTTAATATTCTGGAAAACACACCCACCCACCCCATTCATCTCTCTCTCTCTTTTATTGTTTTACAAATGACTAAAGGTAGGAAACTTATCCAACATGACATATCCAACAGATATTGTTACCCTGCCTCATCAGAGTAGGCCAGTGTTCCTGGGAGGGATGAGCAAAAAATACTGGGGGTGTTCAGTAACAGAATATACTCAGAAGAGTACCAGAAGAAATTGAAGAATTGAAAGTTATGGTTTTTTTTGTTCTTTGAGTTGCCTCACTCACAATGTTAATAAACATAGGATATTAGAATGACTCATTTAAATTACACTAAAAGTAGAAAACAATAAAAAGAAGATTCCATACATCCAGACAAGGTACGACATATAGTAGAATATATTACTAACAACCCAGAGATGTCACTTGATGCATACATGACTGGTTCTAATTATAATATTTTAGGAATATTATGCAAAGACATGATGACAAGTCTAATATTGAGAAAGGTGGAAAGAAAGAAGGGAGCCAGCAGCAAGGACTTGATTAAAGTAGCAATGGGTACACCACTGCAAATCTTGAAGGACCAGGTTGGGTAGAAATGAAATGATCCTGGAGAAGCTCTGTTTATAAGAGGTTCTACATTACCACTGCAATTTTGTTAGGATTATATAGATATTGGTATGGTAAATGGCAAAACACTGAAGTTAATTAAAAGGATCACACTCTCTTAAAAGGAAAACTCTCCTCCTCAAATATTGGAATACCACTGCCACTCAGATCATTACTGGACTAAATGGCCAAGTTAATTGACAAGATGTCAGAAGAAACTTCATAGTTTTGAAGAACCATCTCAACATTTTACACATGTCTGCACATATTATACACAGCTTAGGCATAATATCTTCATTGTTTCAAATGTTAATTTGCTAACCTTTCAGAGACAAGCCGGCTAAGTGCTTCACTGGTTAATGATGGTACTTTTATGGTATCTTGTAGGACTCCTATCTTTTTTTTCAAGCTCTGGGAAAAAAAGTAGAAATTAAAAAAAAGAAAATTTATTAAAGTTAAGATATATATTTCCTGTTTTATGTTGATTCTGTGTTGATATTTAGGAAGAGAGATCTGCATGCTTTCACTTCAGTGGGAAAAAAATATTTGAAAAGAATGTTAAGTTATGAGTACAGAGCACAAATAATGCATTGAATAAAAGTTGAAAGAAAAGTTTTACCGTAATCTCCTTATCTGCATTTCTCAGATCTGTCTGTGTATTTTTCAATTCTTCAGTTGTTTTCTCCAACTCTAGAACAGTTTTCTGGAGCTATAGATTAAAAATTATGTGTCAGAGAAACAGAATTCAATGAGGAATAAAATTACACATAGTTTTATGTATCCCCAAATTACAATAATTTACTTAATAAAAGCATATTCCGAAATGCAATGTTTTAAAATGTATCACATTTTAAACCTGAAAGAGCCATCTTGAATGTGAACAGCTCACCTATTAAAGAATAATTTCTTATCCTATCAAACTGCCTGCAGAAGAAATTGTAGGGAGGCTCATGAGAAGCTATCAATGCATCCTGAAGCACTACTTTATTAGTTGTAAATGTAGAATGAATTTTTGTGATCCCCAGCATGTGCTCAAATTTTTTTTTCCAGCCTTCTGTTCTATATCTTGCCCTAATACCCTCCAGATAGTTTATGTGGTAGGATGGGCAGAAAGAGAATGACCCAAAAGTTATTCAGTTAATTTTCATTCCTGTGTGTAAATTTGAACTTAGTCTTCTCCAATTTCAGTTGAACACATTAACCACTAACTTTATGCAATTTTGTGTGTGTGTGTGTGCGCGCACGCGCAGAAATATTATTAAGACATGCCTGTACTAAGTACAATGTATCAATATTGAAGCAGAATAATATTTCAATATATTTCAGTGACCTATAGATTAAAAGGCATGTACTCTGCTCTCTCTGGTAGTTGTGATGTTTATGTCAGTGACTTGGGAGCTTGACTGGCTAACGATATTTCCTATACATACTTTTGGGATTTATTGTATAAGAGATGTTGCTATTTTAATCATTCCCGAATAGGAACAAATAAGCACGAAAAACAGGATTTAAAGGGTGATTTTTCTCCCTACAGCTTTTCACAGAATAATTACCAAGAAACCAAAGGTGACCCAACCTCCAATTACAAATTACTTTTACCCAAGCACCCCGGAACACGATATAGAGGAAAGGTGCAATTGCTCAGCATCATTAAATAATTCTATTCTATCTGCCATTCTGAGTTAATCTTTTAGGCTCACATTCCTTGTATTAATTCTGAGCATCCTCAGAACAGGGCATTAAGGCACATCCTAATTAGGACATGTGTCTCTCTTTATTCCACTGAGATAGTGTTATTGTGAATATTTCAGGCCAGTCAGTGCTTAATTAAAGAGGCCAGGAAAGGAGCAGTTATATGTTAACTTGAAATCACTACTAACAAATAGTTGCTGACCCCTTCTGGCTGACCTGTGAAAATGTTGTCCTCACTGGTGACAGAGATTTTAATAAGCAAAAATTGATTGGTATAAATCACACTTCATTAGACTTTTCTCTTTTGTGTGTGTGTGTGTGTGAAGAAATTGATGAACAATAGGCTAAGTATTGGGTGCTTTGCATAGTTACACGGACAAACTGATGGATGAAACAGTGACAATTTTAATTAGAAGGGTTCAGTTGAGCTTAACTTTCCAGTTAACAAGTAGTTACCAAATTGACTATGCCATTGGCCAAACAAATATGTATTTAGGTGACAGTACAAAGAATGAATTTCAAATAGATGCACTGCATGTGTCTGCAGGAATATTAATGCAACCTTTTACCTTATGATTAGCAGAAAACAACTCCTTTCTCAGTTTTTCCACTGTATCATTTGATGCTTTCTGAGATTCCTTCAGACTTTCATACTCCCTGAAAGAGCCAGAACTAGTCAGTCAACCTATGGAATGTGTTTCCAAGGAAGTACTTAAACTGACAGAATAAAGCCAGTAAACAAATATGCAATTCATTATTTAAGTGGCTGCAAAAGTTCCTGTTACATATAAACAAGTAGTTTCAGTGTTGAACAGGCCAGCATTGATTTGCACAGCATTAACACACTGACACCACTGAGAAAGTGAGAAAACACACTTTCACAAGGGAGCACTGTTAGGTTTGGAACAGGTATTCAAATGGCAGAAAAGCATATATATCAAAACTCAAATGAACACTTTACTTATATGCAATGTTTTATATTCTACTGAATTCACACCTCACTGAAATGATATGTAGCAAGACTAAAATGATATGTAACTTGCTTTGGTTTAAAAACAAAGTTTAGGCTGTGAAATCATTTCAGCAGTATTATAAAACAGTGCTGAAGCTATTGGTTACAATGCAGATACTTCATGATTTAGCTCATTATTAAAAGTTGTGATTATCCATTTGCTAATGTTGCCTGCACAAGCTGCAAATTAAATATGGTATAAATAGAAAGACCTCTCACACACCCTGTAGGGACCAGCAAGTACACTGTACTTATTGTGCCACAGCTACACAAAGTGCTTTGCCCTGCACAGGGGAGATATTCAGAGGCCAGGCTGCATTACTCAGAATCATTACAATCATCCATCTCTTCCATTCCCATCAAACAATCACCTCCTAAAAACCCTGGCAAACCTCTAAAAGCAGTTTCCATAGCAATGATGTGCCACTAATACAACAATAGTATGCTTGCTGTGTTGAAAAATCTACCCTTTTATGCTACCTTGGTAGCAGCAAGGCTCATGTTGTAGAACAAACTGCCAGCAGGAAAAGGGCTCAGAATTTGTTTATTCATCCAGATCTTTTAATAGCTCCAAAATTTAATTTTTATAGTTTTTAAAGTGATTTGCTTTTTAAAAATATTGTTTTTAATTATGAAGAAACTAAATTTTATAATATTGCTGTAATCCTCCCAGAGCCCTTAAGGGAAGTGGACAGCATTTGCTAAATAAATAAAACATACTGTTTGAAATCCAGTTGGTAGCTAAGAGTCTCAGCATTATTCTCATTTCTAACTCGTGTTTCTTTAGAGAGTGCTACGCAAAATGCCTAAGCCAAGACACTTTCTAACATACTTTTTTAGTGAGATGCAATAGATGGCAAGCTGTTCCACTGCTGCTTGCCCTGCTCCCATTTCACGGATCATCTCCTCTACTTCAGAACGCTGACTGTGTAACAGTGTCTCAATTCTGGAAAGGAGACAGGTAGGTTAGGAGTTTTCTGCCCCTGCTAGTCATAATATAACATTAAAAAAGAGAATAGCTCATTCTGTATTTCAGAATGGTAGAAGTTCCAAACCCCTCCAGCCCAAAGCTTTCCTCAAACATCTACTAGTATATTTTAGCCTTGCAGTATTGCTCTGCTACTAAGAAGTTATACAACCAATAATGAGCCTCTGTAATCTGATCACTTCAAAGCAGTTTAGGAACAATTAGATTTTTTGTTCCTTGTTTATAATCAGCCTATTGGATTGAGAAATATGAACAATACATGCTATTCACATGCCATTTCTTGTATTTATTAAATATACCCTGAAAAATGAAGGCCCATCAGAACCTTGGAGTACTGGAGTTCTGTCCATTTTATTAATCTGGACCATTTTCAGTCAGAGTCATGAACAAAAATAGGACGAGGGACTAAGAGTACAGGTAGTACTCGACTTACGATCACAATTGAGCCCAACATTTCTGCTAAGTGAGACATTTGTTAAGTGAATTTTGCTCCATTTTACAACCTTTCTTGACACACTTGTTAAATGTTGTCAGTAACAGGTTGTTAAATGAATCTGGCTTCCGCATTGACTTGACTTTGCTTGTCAGAAGGTCACAAAAGGCAATCACATAAACCTGGAACACTGCAAACGTCATAAAAATATGAGTCAGTTGCCAAGCACCTGAATTTTGATCATGTGACCATGAGCATGCTGCCATGGTTGTAAGTGTGAAAAATGATCCTGTCACTTTTTTCATAATTTGAAGGTCACTAAATGAACTGTTGTAAGTTGAGGAGTACCTGTACGTACACGGCCCTCAAAAAGAAACTCTTAATTTAGAATTACATTTTCTTGGTGGACTAAGATAAGACTGTTTGTCCAGCAAATCCAGGAATGATTCAGAATGGCAATGGTGGCATTAGCAATAAAAACCTAGTTAAAAATACATCCTTCATTAAAATCACTGCAATATTCTGGATCCAGAAAATTCAAGTAATTATTCTTACCATTGTTTAAATATTATATTGTTTAGATATTAATTCAATACTCAAAAGAAAACCATCTCTTTTGCACATGAAATTGGAATTACATATTTTCTAGAATATTGTCTATAAAAGATAAAAGCTTCTCTAACCTTTCCATAGATTTCACCTTCCTTCGCAATTTTTGAGTTTCTTCTTTTGCACTCTTTGTTTCTTCTTGCTCCTGTTCTAAATATCTCATTTGTTTCTGAAAAAAAAAAAAGAAAGGAAGAAATATTAATGTATGGAAAACAGCTCCATAACAGCAATACAGACTCAACATCAATCTATCTCAAATGCTTTAGTTCACAAATCCACATTTTGGATTCCTGGAAATAAAAATTTATTGTTCCACATACTAAGCGACTGAGAAAGGCAAACAAAACCCAAAAGAAGTTAATATATGCTTCATTGATTATAGAAAAACCTTTGATCATGTCAAGCTATGGAATGTGCTTAGAAAAACAGGAATCGCAGAGCATTTCATTGTCCTCACATGAAATCAATATAGGTCAGGAAGCCACAGAATGGGCAGAACATTATAAAACAGATTGGCTTTAGGTTGGCAAAGGAAGGAGACAAGGCTGTATAGTCTCCTCTTATATATTCAACCTATGTGCTAAAATATATATGCTGACTTCCAGTGACGAGATATGGGCGAACGGAGGTGCTGAAGCTCGCTCTGGGTTTCATGCTACCTCCTCTTGCTGTTGGAGTGACCCTTAGGGGTGCACGCATCTTGTGGAGAAGTGTACCAGTGTGGGGAGACTCAAGTCATGGTGTGGAAAAGGCGATTCTCATTGCGACGTAGAGAAACCCTGTGGAGACCGACCACAAGAGACTGTCAGCAATGGCGGTCCTAAAGCCTTGATCGTTGCATACAAGAGGAAGCGAGTGAGTGACAGACTGTGGTGAACGAAGAGTGTGAGTGAAAGAATTTGTGATCCTATTCGTGTTGAATATTGGAGTATCTTAGTCGGAGCAAAGCCCGGAAACAGCGGCCAAAGCAGATATGAGCGGCGGTGAAAGCGAAAGGGCTCGTGAGATGGAAGAGGGTAAGGACACAAGCGATCGGACAGAGAAGATAAGAAAATCGGATGGATCTGAGAGACTGATAATAATTGGGGGAGAGAAAAAAAGAAGAAAGAAAGAACAATAATTTAAAGGAACTTTGAAGGATTTGAATTGTGGACTTTGGGGAAAATTGGAAGGACGAACTTGAGATGGGGGGAGACTTGAAGTAAGGAATTAAATTACAACTTTAAATATTCCATGAACAAAATTGAATAATTTACTAGTCTCCTTTTGGATTATTGGACTGGAGCTGTAGTAAGTGGAAAAGATTTATTAAAGGGAGACTATTTGAATCTAAAAATTGACTTGTTAAACTTTCAAACGAAAGGAGAAACGAGTACAGCGGAAAGTGTGGTGAGATAGTGAAATCAGAGACATTACTCAGCAACTCTGTACTTCCGGTGCGCTCGGTGAAGGAATCTTGAAGAACTGAACAATTATATTAAGACACTTTAAGCATTTAAATTTGCGGATTGCAACAATTATTTCTTGACGCCAACTTAACTGATTTTTGAATGTGGTAAATATAATTTATATATATTTAATTGATACATTAGTAATATTGTAGTTTATATTTGCTTATAACTCATATAAAAAAGGGAGGTGATAATTATTTAGGTATATTTGATTGTAGGCGTTGAGTAGATTGAATTAAATAATTAATTGTGATTAATTGTGATTATTATAGATTAACTAATTAATTATTGTATAGTAAGGTTCATATATCTATATTTAGATTTGTAAATATTTGAAATATTATTTTATAACACTATTTTGAGATTTGGGATTCTATAGTATTTATAGATATACAGGTTAATATTATTTAAATGTAAATAGAGGAATTTGATATATTATTAAGAATTACAAATCCAGATATTTGATTTAGAAATTAGCTGTAAAAGTGTTCTGGAATATATATATATATATATATTGATAAGAGAGGTTAATCCTGTAACATATCATATTATTTAGCGTAGTGGCCATTTATAGTTGATATTTCTTAATAGTGAATGTTAATTTGAGACAACATATTTAATATAATACAAAAACAAAAACAAGAAGTCATCAAGAAGTCATCAAGAAATGACTTCCGTTACTAATACAATGCTTAAAACTTTAAAAAAAAATTTAAAACTTAAAAATTACTTCGTAGAACTTAACAAGATAATCACCAAATTTATCTGGCAAGGGAAAAAACTGAGGATAAACCTAAAGGCAATGCAAGATATGAAGAGTAGGGGAGGTATGGCATTCCCAATGGGAATTATATTATAGTGCAGCCTCCTTACTCTGGTTGAAAGAGTGGGTAAATTTGTCGAATAAAAGGATCTTATTTTTAGAAGGCCATGATTTACAGAGGGGATGGCATGCATTTTTATGGGACATTGGGGAAATTAAGCAGAAGTATTTCCACAGACATATAATTAGAGATTCCTTATTGGCTAATTGGAACAAAAAAAAAAACATTATTTAAAAATCCCAATTTGGATCTCAGCGATGGAGGCGATGATACATCCAAACAATCTAGATCTTAATAAAATGATAAAATACAAAGACCTTCTTGATGCGCAAGGAACTTTAAAATCATGGCAAGATATCCAAGAACAGGGGCTACAAGTAGACCGGTGGGCTTACTTGCAAATTCAAAATAGATATAGCCAAGAAAAGAAAAATTTTGGAATTTATATTAAGGAACAACAAATAGATAAAATTTTATTAGATCCAGATAAAAAATATATAACTAAATTTTATAATTATTTACTAGAGACTGAATTAGAAGAGGAAGTAGTCAAAGGCAACATGATAGCTTGGAGCAGAAACATAGGACGTAGAATTACATTATTAGAATGGGAAAAGGTTTGGACAAGGAATAATAAAATTACAAGATCAGCAGCATATAAAGAAAATGCCTATAAAATGTTTTATAGATGGCATCTCTCACCCTTGAGCGAAAATGTCTCCTAACATGAATCCGAATTGCTGGAAATGTAAAAAGAAACAGGGAACATTTTTTCATATGTGGTGGTCCTGCACTGAAGCCCAAAGATACTGGCATAGAATAAAAAAATGGTTAGAGGAAATAACGGCAGAGCAAATTGAATTAAAACCAGAATTCTTCCTATTGGGGATATTTAATAGACAAATTCCTAAAAATGTCAAATATATAATACTGCATATTCTTACTGCAGCCAGAATAACCTTTGCACAGTGTTGGAAACAAGCAGATATTCCAACAGAGGAGATGGTTATACAGAAGATAACAGCCTGTGCAGAGATGGACAAGTTAACCTTAGCACTTAAGGAAAAAGAAACATCAGAATATTATGGAAGCTGGGAATACTGGTATGATTGGATAGAACAAAAATAGAAAATATATTAGTAAATAATGTTAAATGTAAATCATAATTATATATTCGCAATAAGATGTATTTGTAAATGTATCACCAATATCGATAACAAAGGAACCATAGACTGTCGATAGAATTGTTCGTTTTTTAATCATTTTCTTTTTTTCTATTTCTTTTTTTTCTTCTTCTGTGTGTTGTGTTTGTTTGATGTTTTGGTTTTGTAATCAATAAAGTTTGTTTTTTTAAAAAAATTAAAAAATATATATGCTAAGGGAATCTTGTTTGGAAGATGAGCATAGCTGTAAAATGAAATGAAAACTTACACTATACCAATGACACTAATTTAATAGCCAAAACTGCAAGGGACCTGCAAGTTCTAATAATAAAAGTCAAGGAGCATAGACAAAAATGGGACTAACTTTAAGCATAAGGCCCAAATCAATGAGAACAGCGCAACAACCTGCCTTAGAATAGGCAGTAAAGATACAAAAGTGGCAGATAGCTTTTGCCTCTTAGGATTAACTATCAAGAGCAAACAAGTCAGCAATGAAGAAACATGTTGCAGACTAGCACCCAGTAGAATTGAAATGAAGGCCCTGGAGGAAATATCAGATGTTAAATAATTTTATTAAAGTAAGAAGAAAGATTTAACACTAAGGAAAATATAAAAAGTAAAAAAAAGAAGTGCAAAGATGTAAGAAAAGAAAAAACATATAAAGGACTCCCTCCAGACAAGTATAAACGTTCAGTAACTTAATTCTTTTTCTAGTATTTTAGTAAAAAAAAAAAAATTCCCATCTCTCATCCCTTATCAATAATCAAATTCTGTAATTCAACATAAATCTATTTTGTAATTCAACTTTCACCAAGAATTAAAGCAAAAGAAATATCTTCCCTCTTAATAAACAAAACTTTAAAGCATTGACATTCAGTTCTGATTTAAAAAAATCCACTTACAGCAGGGGTCTCAAACTCAATTTACCTGGGGGCCGCATAAGGCCGGGCCGCATAAGCGGAACTGCCTGTTGCTGCTGTGGGTGCTGCTGCGGGAGTCTGGCTGCCCAAGTAAAGAACCGCACCAGCTCAGGGCAACTGTGAGGAGCAAGAGGGGAAGCCGGACCATTGGAGAAGCGGAGCAAAGCTGGAGATTAGTAGCTGCCTCTTTTGGCGCAGAAAGCTTCCCCCAACCAGCCAGCTGGTCTCCTCCTCCTCGGCCATACAGAACAAACAGGCAGAGAAGGAGAAGAGCAGCTGGCCAGTTGGGGGAGGCTTCTTGTGCTGCGAAAGAGGCGGCTAATGATCTCCGGCTCTGCTCTGCTTCTCCAACATCCGGCGCCGCCCTGTTCTATGTGCTGGCTGCTCGGACTTGCCGGGCCCGAATGTCAGCCACGACGAGGAACGGCGGGCGGGACTTCCTTCAGAGGTCCATTCCCCCTGCGGGCCGCACTAATATTATACTTTCATATCATGGTGGGGGTCACAGGATATCGTCCTGCGGGCCGCAATTGGCCCATGGGCCGTGAGTTTGAGACCCCTGACTTACAGCTATCAGAAACCATAATATACATATTCTAACTCTGGTCAAATTGTTCATTTTGTAGTCTTCCCATTTCTTTCTAAAAAGCTTGGCCTTTAATTCTTTCAAGTAATGCCCCAGAAGTTCATTTCATATTATTTTCTTTTTATTTATTTTCAGGAAAAGCTTCAGTAGTTTAAAATGTCCTTTTGTAAACACAACATAAAAAAACTTTCCAAATCATTCTTCTTACTTATTTGTATTTGTTTAGTTATTAGCCAGTTTCAAATATGCATCCTTTGTGATATCTTTTTCCATATCTCTGTTTTATCCACTTGTTCAGCACTCTCTTAATTCTGAATGGCTGCTGAATGACTGGCTGAGGACTACCAGCTGCTAAAAACTGACACTGATTTGATGGTTACACGATCAATCAATCAGAGATAAATGTGCCATAATATTTATATCACAGTGTTTCTAATCAAACAAAATATTTTGTTGTTCATTTTTCACAAAAATTGACCATTATTGAAAGCTTGAATTAAACCAAATTTTTAATAATTTTACAGAGGAAAAAATATAGAAATGACTTCCCCTTTCATTAGTACAAGTACAAACATTTTCAGTAACTATATACTTACAATTTTACATTTCTTTATACAGTATCTTGTCATTTTCTCTAGATACAAAAAGAAAAAACACCTCTTCTTCCCATATCTTATCTAACATCTTTAAAACTTCATAATTCAAAGTTAAATAAAAATATCATTAGTTGTTACCAGAAGAAATATATTATACTTATTCTTTAATTCCTTCAAATGATGTCACACAAATTAAATTCTTATCAGCTTCTTCATCTGTTCTCAGTTTTAATACCGTAGCTCATCACTATATCTAAAAATGCAACAAAAACTCGTTTCTCCCCATATTTTGCCTTTTAAAGCCTCATGATTCTGTCCTGCTCAAGAAAAAACATTAAAAGATGCTAGGAAAAAGAAACGGAATCATATATATTTTAGCCTTGTACGAATAAGCTAACTTTGTAAGGTTTTCTTTTACTTTTAAGGGTCTTGTTGTTTATTCCTTTTAAGTAAAATCTCCAAAGCTGATTTCTTTTTTCTCTCTCTCTAGCTTTTCTTAGGAATGATCCTAAGGAGGAGCAAACATATTGGACAAAGTATATACCAACATCAAACATGGCTATAAGGTTATACAATTACCACATTTGGGACAATCAGACCATATGTCACTGCTTTAAGTACCAGCACACATCCCTCTTAGGAGATGGGCTCTGCCTATAATAAAGACAGTGAAATCTTGGCCAGAAGATGCTTCCCAACAACTTCAGGATTGTTTTGAGAAAACAAATTGGGACGTCTTTTACCCCCATGACCTAGAGGAGCACACTGCAACTGTTCTGTGCTATATCAAACACTGCACAGATACTATCACTGTGGATAAACGTATTAGGATCTATCCCAGTCAGAAACTCTGGATGACCAAGGAAGTCCAGCGCCTCTTGCGTGACAGGACCAAGGCTTTTAGGTCCGGTGATGGGGTAAGATATAGTGTTGCTAGAGCTAGTCAGAAGAAAGGTATTTGGAAGACCAAGACTGAGTATAAAAGGAAGATTGAGGATAATTTTTATAGCAATAACATGAGGCAGGTGTGGCGAGGATTCAACAAATTACAAACCATCAACTGACCAATGTCATCCCAGCTGAGGGGGATGATTCATTGGCAGAGGAACTGAATCATTTCTTTGCTCGCTTTGAAGTGGAGACATCAGAGACAGATAAAATACAACCACCAGCCAATTGTAGCCCCCACCTCATTGTGGAGGAACAGGAGGTGAGGAGCATTCTGAGGGCTGTGGACCCTAGAAAGGCTGCCAGTCCTGACGGTATCTCTGGCCGAGTGCTTAAAGATTGTGTTGATCAGTTGGCTGGAGTCTTTACCAGGATCTTCGATCGGTCTTTATCCCAGGCCACTATTCCATCTTGTTTGAAGGCTTCCACCATTGTTCCGCTTCCAAAGAAGTTCCCTATCAATAACCTCAATGATTACAGACCAGCGGCACTCACTCCTATCATCATGAAGTGCTTTGAGAAATTGGTCTGCTGGCACATCATTTCTGGTCTTCCACATACATTTGATAAACACCAGTTTGCATACAGAAAAAAATAGATCTACAGAGGATGCTATAGCCATCACTCATCACACTGCTCTGACTCATCTAGAACAGCGGCGGGGGGTGGGGTCTATGGCAGTAGCTCTTTTGAATTCTGCTGTATAGTGCAGTGTTGGTGTAGTGTCGGGGATTTTTGGTTCAATGAGTGAAGGGTGAAGGATGTGTGTTTGTGTTTATTTTCATGGTGATGGTCATGATGTGCACTGAAGATGGTGTTTGATTTCGTTGTACGAGGTGCAATAACAATAAAAGTAAAGTAAGTAAGTAAAGTAAGGAAGAATAGACTAGTTGATTTGATTTCAGAGAAAACTAATTCTCAAATCTCAGAAACACTAGAGTAATTGGTTAGTTATATGTACCAGGCTAAAAAGAAAGTTCTAACCAGCTTCATTTATAGTTCTATATTGCAATTATGGGATTATAAGTTAAATAAAAAGATGTAGAGAAAACCCGAAAAGCCATTTTAAGTTAAACACCTTGGGTATGCTGCAAGAATATTTCAAATTAAATAACAGGCTTAATGCTGCAAATACATGCCTAATTAAAGGGGCGAGGTCGTCACTACAATATCAGTTGTTCAGGAGACTTACAATATTTAAAAAAGCAAAAGACAATATATTTATTATGAATATATGTATGTTCAAATACAACTTTAAACAAGAATTAGTTGAACACCATCCAATCTTTTAAAGAGCATTCACATAAAAATCTAATGGCAGGAATAAGAACTTATAACCAATCTACATCAGTTGCAGAAAACAATTATGAAAGAAAAATCTCTCACCTAAATGTATCCAACCGTTGAACAATCAAATGATATTCTTAGTTAAGTTTCTCCGTTTTAAAAATCATCATGTTGGATTTATAGCTCTACTGCGTATCCACTATCAACTTGGCTTCCCATCAGTGGAAATCTATTTAAAGAGTTCTCCGCTAGAAAGTAGAAAGAGGCATTTTCTTCTTTTCCTATTATTCTTCATTTCTGCACAACCCTTCAGAATCACTTTTCACTGGACATTAAAGGGGAAGAAAACTTTCAACATACCTTGAGTGTAGAACACAGCATTTCCGTGTCAGAAATAGCTTTCTGGAGTGATTCTATAGTGGCATTACGTAGATCCAGGGTCTCTCTCAATGAATTTACAATACATTGACAATCTCGTTTTTCTTTCTCTGAAACAAAAAATTATAATGGAAGTAAGGGCTCACCTGAGTTTTATAAATTTCTATATTTAGTGGAGAAATAATTCTTAACACACATACCCGTAGCAAAGATCTAGAATTGAGTGAGAAAGAGAAGGAATTTAGCCAGAGGCAATAGTGTGTGCAACAGAATAACAGAGTTAGAAGCGATCTTGGAGGTCTTCTAGTCCAACGCCTTCTCAAGCAGGAGTCCCTACACCATTGCAGACAAATGGCTGTCCCCTCACTTCTTAAAAACCTCCAGTGATGAAGCACCCACAACTTCTGGAGTCAAGTCATTCCACTGATTAATTGTTCTCACTGAGGAAATTTCTCCTTAATTCTAGGTTGGATCTGTCTTTGCTAAGCTTCCACCTGTTACTTCTTGCCTTGCCCTCGGGTGCTTTAAAGCAGGGGTTGCCAACCTTTTGGACCTCAGGGACCACCAAACTCATAATTTTAAATCCCGCGGACCAGAGACTCTGGGAAAATTCCAAAAAAGTCTGCAGGAAAATCCCCCACCCCGTTTTCCTACTGATTGATTGTTCTTTATTTGGGATCGTAGGATACTGTCTCCAGCTCCGTTCTCAGGGGAAGATAGAGAGAGAGAGAGAGAGAGAGACTTTTGGCTTCAGGCAAGGAAAGTAGCAGAAGTCTTTCTTTCTCTCTCCCAAACTCCACCAGAAATAAGCCTTTGTGAGACTTGTTGCACCAGCTCAGCCTCTTAGAGCAGGATGCCTTGCAGGATCCTAAAAAACTCATTTCTGGTGGAGTTTGGGGAAGACAAAGAAAGACGTTTGCTGCTTTCCCTGCATGGCCAGGTGAGGCGCATGGGGCAAGTTCCCCCCCTCTGCCCTTTCCCCCCCTCCCCTCACTACCTCATCTTGTTTGCAATGCAAGTGACACAAGCCTTGTGTTCCCACGGGCCATGTGGGCAGCACAGCCTTGTGTTCCCGCACAGCCTGAATTAGTTAGTTTACTTTATTGTCATTGCACCTCATACAATGAAATCAAACATCATCTTCAGTGCACATCATGACCATGAAAATAAACACAAACACACATCCTTCACATTCCACGTTAATTGCCTTGGGGGTGACATTTCTCTGCAGGTCACCAAAATTTTCTCATGGACCACCAGTGGTCTCCGGCCCACTGGTTGTTGACCATTGCTTTAAAGAACAGGTTGTTCCCCTACTGTCTGTGACAGTGTCCCAAATATTGGAAAACTGCTATTATGTCATCCCCAGTCCTTGTCTTCGTTAGACTAGACATTCTGAGTTCCTGGAAGTGTTTATTGTATGGCTGACCAATCTTTGTTGTTATTCTTTGCATTCTTTCTAGAGTCTCAGAAACCTTTTTGTACCGTGTTGACCAAAACTGCTCCACTTAATTTAGTCACTTTGTCAAAGAATGCAATAAAATCACTGTCTTTATCTGGCTCTCCAAAAGCTGCGGGCATATCTATTTTTTTCTGGGAACATTCCTCTGGGAATTGCTTCCTTTTCAACTTTGTTTTTGTATCGTGTATGTGCAAATATACAAGGAGAGACAATTCCAAAGAAAGAAGGTAGAAAAAGGATGGGTTGACATACTGTGGATGAGATTCAAGCCGAACTCCCCATCTCCTTTTGATTTCGACATCATCCACTATCTTGGATGGAAGGTTGACTCAGCCTTCCATCCTTCTGAGGTGGGTAAAATGAAGACCCAGATTGTTGGAGGCAATATGCTGACTCCGTAAAAACCGCTTAGAAAGGGCTGTAAAGCACTATAAATCAGGACTTCTGGTTTGGGCTTCTTCAGCAACAGACCAAAATTGCGATTGTGTGCAGTTTGGATCCATGCTCACCACTGGAGCATCCCGAGCCGCCCGGATTCAGGGCTGAAGCCACCCTGTAGAGGTGGTGAAAAAGGGGGAGCTGCCAGCGGGGTTGAGGAGAGCCGCATCTCTCCTCCTCGGCTGGCCATTACTTCCTTTCCCAAAGGCGGTTGCAGCGGTGGTCAGAAATGGCCACCTCAAAGAAGAACCCGACCGGACAAGATTGTACAGGAGGAAGTTTAAAGAAGAAAGTTTGACGGACCGGGTTGAATGGAGAACATCTATTTAAGGTACCTGGAACCTGAATTTTAAAGACTAATACTATTCCTAAAAAAGATTTTTTAAGCGGCGAAAGAGAAAGGGAACGGAAACGGAATTGGCTTTTTCCCCTCTCACATTGACAGTTTGAATTGACTTGGAACGTTAAGAAGAAGAGATTTGAATAAAAAATTGATACTAATCCACTTTGACATTAATAGGCTATTTCTAGCTGAAAATAAAGTGTCAAAGGGATAAAGATTCTTGGATAATTTAAAAATTTTCTTTAAAAAAAGAAAGCAGCGGAGGGAAAAAGGAAACAAGAGGGTGGATTCTGGAAAATGGAGGAGACCACCTGGAACTTAAAAAAAATCGATAGTGGAATTTTAACAAGGTTTGCAAAAGATACATTGTAGCTGAAACTTTGTCACAAGATAACAAAGCCGCTGGAAAGAGAAAGTGAGAAAAGAAGCAAGAAATAGTTTTGGATTATTAGATGATTCCTGGAACTTTGGATGGAGGATCCTATTGAAACAAAATAAAAGCAATTGGGGGTTGTTTAAAATTTTTTACAATGGCATCACTCCTTGAAGAGTTAAGAATGAGACTTAAAGAACAAAAAGAAGAAAGCACAAGAGGGAAGAAGATCTTTTGGCTTCATATTTCAATTTTTAGAAATGGAGATCTTGAACTATGAAAACCAACAAGAAACGCTGGCAGAACAAGAAGGGCGGGACAACGAAGAAGCCATCTTTAATGACCAAGCAATTTTAAGCGGGGTAAAAAAGGGAAAAGGAGGAAAGGGAGTTAAAAACTTAAGCACTGAAGCAACAACAACAAAAAAAGAGTAATTTGAAAAGTAATCTTAATATCAGGAAGAAGCAGAAGGGAGGATCACAGAAGGGAGAATCAGATAGAAAAGGGAATAAAAAGGGGAGGGAGAAGAAGAAAGGGAAGAGGGAAACGAAAAGAAGCTACAAAGGACAGAAACAAAATATAGAGGTACAGGAAAAGCATACAAGAATTAAAGGTATAAACCTATTTAAAAGACACAGAGACAATGGTTAAAATTTAATTTAAGGAGAGGATTCTGCAAGGGTGCATGGGGTAGCATTGTTATATTAGAAATAGAAAAGGGTTAGAAAATATGTTAGATGATTAAAGTGATAGAAAAAATTTCTATTGATGTGTAGTGAAATATTTGTTTGTAAAGAGAATAAGGCTCTCAATGATTTAAAAGGAAAGTTTAAAAAAATCTGAAAAGAAACATGGAAGATTTTTATCAGTTGACAAGATGAACTTGAATAAGAATAATAACTTTATTGATTACTGTTAATAACTATTGTTTGGTTTTTTTATTTAAAGACAGTAATAAGTAAAATATGAAATATAGATGATTGAAGTGAAAGACAACTGATATTACGAGGTAATGTTTGTTAAAAGAAATAGAAATGTAAAAGATTGTTAGTAATATTAATGGCAGAGCTGTACTTGAATAGAATAATTATTCCATTTACTATTGTTATACGTATATACACAGATATACATACTCTTTTCTTTTAAGAATTTAGTGTGTATTTTTAAAAGAATGTACCAAGCAGAATTCAATTGAAAATAGGTATGTGTTATAAAATAGAGGTTAGAAAATGAATGTTAACTGTAAAGGTGTAATTGAAATTTTTAAACAAGATTTGAAAAAAGATACAAAGGTGTTACACTCCAGTCTAATAATTACAGGGGAATTTTTTTTTATGAGAAAAGATAATATGAAATTGTAAACAGGACAGACAAAAGTATAAAAACATTGATTAGAAAGATTTTAAAAATTAGAAAAACATATGAAATTGAATTAAGAAAGGAATGAGATAATTTAAAATAAAGCTATAGGAAGTAAAGAAAGGGAGAAGCTATTGAAAAAACTGCGAAAATAGTTATAAGATATGGATTAGAATGTATAAGATAAATATGTATTGAGTTTATGTCTGTATGGAGAAGTGATAACCCGGGGGCACACTGTTCTCAAAAAAGATATTTTATTTGTATTTGTATGTTTTGTGAAAACGTAAATAAAACTTTTATTATAAAAAAAAAATACTATAAAGCAGTATATAAGTCTAAGTGCTATTGCTATCTCATCCAGGGCCGATTACAATCTTTTACAGTCCCAAAGGACTTTTCTTGTAGATTAATGATTCCCCATTCTGTTCTAAAAATTGTTTGGAAATTTGTCAAAGCCATTGTATCAATAGCACTTGATACAAAGTGCTAAAAATAATCCTTGTTAAAAACTTCACCAGATTTCAAAGCCTCTTTTATACCACTTCAGAGCTTGTTCAGTGGGCTGAGGCAATTCTTCAGGATCAGAATGTACTCCAGCACAGCCTTGCTGGAATCCCTGAAATCCCTGAACTAACAGTTACACAATGATATAATGATGAAGTTTTGAAGACCAATTGTAGAAGTATTATATTTTGTTTTCTCAATGAGGATTCTCATAGATTGATATATATTGAGAAAAAGTACAGTGAAACAAGAGGGCAGGGCTGTTTTACTGAACTATTACACTACTATCATGTCATTCACTTTCATTAGTTTGTGCTTTGGGGTGAGGAAAACAAAACTCCTGGCTCAGTTTATATAGTTGTAAATATTATTATTCTTTAAGGTGTCATAAAAGACAAATGTTACACTCAAGGAAGGAAGATCAATGAAACTGTCTCACTCTCATAGGTAAAGGTAGAAACACCTGCAGATGAACTTAATTCCTGGTGACTACAGTTTTCTTGGAGTATGGAAATGGTTTGCCCTTGTCTTTTGGGGGGATGTTTATTATCTGTCCCTGGTATTCATAATGATATTCTGCTTAGCTCCCAACTTAAAGACTGTTAGTTTCAACCATCAGTGAGAGCCTCAATCATTATTTTCAAAAATATTGCTCCAAAATGCTTCTGATGCAATGTATAAGTGATTTTAGAAATCTACAAGTCAGCAAAGTATTCTGATACATATTATTTCAATTGCTACAGTCTCAATATAAAAAGGTAAATTGGATAAAATAACATTATTGAGTCCTGAATTGTTGTGGTCAAAACCTGGATAACTTAAAGCAATCATTAAATTACTTTGAAGATACAATGTAATTTGTATCTGTATCCTCCCATTCCTCTCTTCCAGTTAGGAAATCAGACAGACAATACTGAGAAAATTTACTGTATATAAACTTATACAAGCATACAGACTAGCGCACCATATTAACTGAAAGGATGGTAAAGCAACCTGTGTATCTCATCTACTTTCTTGACAAACACATAAACTTACACAAATGCTTACAAACAAAAAACAAGTACTCACTTCGAATACTGTTCATATTCAGTCCCCTGAGTCAATCAGCAGAATCCAAAACATACATACTACATCGAAACGGTCCATCTCTTGTGCCACATGCAGAGTCAGCCAGCAAAAATTCAAATTCAACCATGCATTTTTTCCTTCCACTTGGATTCATACTGCTATCTCATGGTGCTTTCCATTGGTACTCATGCCTTGTAAGGTTTTTTTTTTTCAAAACAAAATTCGCTGGTCAAATTGAAATTCCCTCAAATGAGTTCAGGATTGGAGAGAACAAGGGAGGCGGCAGAAAGCACAAGCCTGCAAAATGGCAGGAAGGGGCTGCAAGTAACGACTGTCCTCTTTCTCATCCTTTCAGTCTGAATTACAGTACAAAATTGTGTTGGCCAAAACCTGACTCACCTAAAGCAACCAGATCACTTTGAAGATGCAACGTAATTTTACTAGCAGGCAAACAATAAAGCAGCATCTGCTGGTCAACCCTGATCAAATGCAGAACCAGAGCTTATATACCCTTGGCGTAGTAGATTGCAAAGGCATGGCAACCAAAAAGGCAGACCCAGTGGAAATTACTATAAAGCATGACCTCAGAGTGTTTTTGGATAATCTGTCTGGGTGACCATAATAAGGTCACCCAGACAGATTCTCCCAAAACACTCTCTTCCTACTAGTTCAGCATGCCAGCAATACCACAATATGTCTGAGATATAGTCAATGAATATAAATAATTTCATTTAGTGGGCCATAAGCTCCTATTGATTCGTCTCCCTTTCACTGCTCAGGATCAATTAGTGAATGCAGGAGATGGGCGGGTGGGAGGGGTCAATTTTACCGTCACGATACATATATGGGACAGAAAATAATCCAGTAAGAATGAATGTTTTAGAAACAATGACTTTTCCTGGCTGCTCTTATAAAACTTTCTCTTTGATTGTATTCTGATATTTTCAGACTTTTGTCTTTCAAATTAAATGGTGTTTTCTTCACTCTTTATGACTCATAACCATCTATGGAAAATAATAAAAAAGTTCATATTCTTAAAATTGTGGAAATCGAAGGGAATGAATAATTACCCACAGAACATCCTCTTCCCTTCATAAGTTTATTTTTCAGTTCTATGAGCCAAGCCTATAATGTTTCTATTGCACAACCCTGGACATTTAGCAGATACAGTATTTCCCAAAATAATTATGAAGATTTGGAGTGTTTGGGTGTTCATCAAACTCAACTTTATCATATAAAATCTATGGCTAAACAAGATTTGGCCCATAATCAACTAGTGGTTCATATTTGTTTGTTTATTTATTTATGGATGGTATGGCTAAATATGGTGGTTAATGGCATTTTGTTCATTGCCAACAGAAGGAAATATAGGTAAGCTCAGAGTTGAACTGTGGAGTCTCTCTCAGAGCTTGGTTGACTGCTTGCAGATGTTTCATTACTCAAGTAGGTAACATGTTCAATCCTAGAAGGGCCTGGGATTTGCCTTCTGTTTATATCCAGTAGTTTGGCTGTCAGCATTAGTGGGAGTATTATTTTCTCCCTGGTAGTTCCTTGATAGGCTATTGTTTATATAGTGTTTGACTATTAAATCCCTGCCTAGTGTTTTTGGATTTTTTTGGTGTGCACCCATGAATACAAGTTAGGAATCAGAAGACATCATAAAAACTCCTTAATTTCACAACAGATGGACAGACTTAACTACTATTTCAACTGGAAAGAAGTAAGCATCCTAGACCAAGCTAAATCCCAAAACACCAGGGGATTCCTGGAAGCTTGGCCCTCATACAATCAACAGGCACACAGAGAGAAACAACATTTATACAACATTCAAGAGATAATAAAAAAGCTAAAAAGAAAACAAAAAGACCAGAACAGCTCCTCACTAGCAAACAACACCAAGATAAGCAGGGATTAGCTGCAGGAGTAACACTACACAAACAATCAAGCAGTAAACAGCTTAATCAAACAACTATAGGTAGTCCTCAACTTATGACAACTGAGCCCAGAAATTCTCTCGCTAAGTCTGTAGTCCCATTTTACACCCTTTCTTGCCACAGTTGTTGTAAACCACTGCAGTTGTTAAGTTAGTAACATGATTAAGTGAATCTGGCTTCCCCATCTGATTTTGCTCGTCAGATCAGAAAAGGTGATCACATGACCCCGGGATACCGTGACTCTCTAAATATGAGTCAGTTGCCAAGCATCAAAATTTTGATCAAATGACCATGAGAAAGCTACAATGGGGATAAGTGTGAAAAGTGGTTGTCAGTCATTTTTTTCAGTGTAGTTATAAGTTTGAACAGTTGCAAAACAAACTGTTATACATCTAGGATTACTTGTACCAATACAAACACAGGGCAAACCCTATTCCCTTCTAGCACTGAAGATGCTACACGACAGAAAACAAAATGTCTGCAAGAAAACTGCTCAGCACCAAATAGTCTACATTTCATTCTTAATCGTGTGTGGGCAGAAGAAATGTCATTCCTCAAATTTGGAGGTAGAAGAAATTTTATTCAGATGTGTAAAAAGACTAGGTCTAGGACAACACCATAACAACAATTAGGTCCTCAACTTACATTTTAGTGTCTCAGGCCACTCATTTTTCAACTTACCTTTCATGGATAGCTGAGCTTTCACCTTATCTAGTTCATTCTGAAACACAAAGAGAATCAAATCAGGTTAAAGAATAGAGTCCAAGACATCATCACAACTTTTAAAAAATGTATGTATAGGTAATGTATGTTAAGGCCAGGCAGGCTCTGTCTGAGCAAAACATGTGTGATGTGTTCACTGTTCATTTTCTGAACATTATATAATTCATGTTGTTATTTGTCTGATCACTTATAATGGTCAGTTAATCAGCTTATGGTTACTAATTTATTATCACAAATCAACTGACTGATGCAGGGAAAGCAGAAGAGCCTCCATGGATCACAGTTTTGACAATCACTACTTTAGAACTACAGGAATGCTAAAAAAAAGATCTTGAAGAATTAATATCAGAAAAATTATCATCTTATTACTGTATTTTTCAGAGTATAAGGCACCCCGGAGTATAAGACGCACCTAGCTTTTGGGGAGGAAAAGAAGAAGAAAAAATCTGCCTCTGCCCCTGGCTCCCAGCATCCATCTGGTATTCATCTGGCCTGTTCACCGCTGCCACGGCCTGTTCACCACAGCCCGTTTCGCTGCTGTCCATTCGCTGTAGCCATTTGCCACTGCCCATTCTCCGTTGCCACTGCAACCTATTCACCACGGCCCGTTTGCCGCGGCCCATTCATTGCCGCAGCAGCCCAGTATTTATTTATTCTAGAACAGCAGATTAACCCCCCTCTCCCCACTGCAATATTCGCTGTATAAGACACAGAGACACTTCCACCCACTTGTATAGTGCTTCAGATCCAAAGCAAAAAAAAAACAAAAAACAAAAACTTGAGAGTGGATGTGAGCATAAACACTACACTTATCAGTGCGTCTGTAAAACAGACACATTTTTATTCAAAGGTGTTTATATTAAGCACTCTTTTATCTTCCTATTTGAAGTGCTGCACATCCACATTTAACTGTTTTCTTACAATAACTATTTCAAAAACTGCAAATTATTTCCTTTTCTTAAGTTTATAGCAACTTGAATATTTCGTAATTGATTCTCTCAATGCATAGGTTTTCCTCAATCCAAATGACGCGAGGCAGCAACAATATCTTAAATAACTTTAAATAAATAAGACCAAATATAGCAATAATAGTGCGCCGGGAAATACACAAAAATCAAACAGCCACCATTCAAGCAGTTCACAGATTGCCTTGATCCAGGGAAAGGCAACTTTCTATTGCTTTCTTAAAGGTGAGTAAAGTTGGAGCCAATGGAGCTCAGGAAGAATGCTATCCCAGAAGCCAGGAGCAATAACAGAGAAGCATCTTTCTAGAGTTTCACAAAATGACATTATTTTGTAGATTAGACTTGGATCATACCTTCTCTTGTGAGATTAGTAGGCAAGATTGAAAATATCTAGTTCCTGATCCACAAACAATCACTTTGAGTTATAACTAGTAGTTCACTAGTTTCCAGGGAAATTGTGAAGTACAGGCATAGAAAAATACATTCTAGGTCCCTTATACTATGCATAGCAACAGTTCAAATGGGAGGCAACTACAGCATGAATGACTGAGAATAATCTGTTGGCCAAGGAAAGGGTCTAATCCAAACATAATGGATCCATAGATCTATGCAAAAACCACTCCGGATAGATTTGCCACTTTTTCAGTGAGTGCCATGAGCCCATGTGGACCCTCAAAGGAAACATGAAGACCGCCTGGAGAAAAGTAACCCTATCAAGAATTAAAAATGAGGAATTCCTGAATATGGCCAATCCGTCAGTCTTGCCAGGGTTGAACCTGTTCTTTTCCATCGAGACCCTAAAAGCTTCCAGATACTACGACAGTGTCTCAACAGCTTCATTTGGTCAGCTGGAATATACAACTGTGCCTCATCAGCATACTTATGAAACCTATTTCCATGCCATTGGATGACCTGGCCCATAATTCTCATTTGATGTTAATTAAGAGAAGGGAAAGCAAAGATTCTTCTCGGCCTTTATTTATTTAAATAATTTATATGGCTGCCCATTGCACAACAGTGGGCACATGCAATAATCAAAACTGCTACAAGCAAAGACTGATGATACCTGGGGGTAAACAATGCATTCTCAATCATTAAAAATACACCAATAGCAGAAGTCACTTAAATCCAGCTTAAACATAATGTTTAAAGAGTGAGCAGTAGGCTCATAAAGTAAAGTCAAGGTAAAAAGGAAAAGGCCATACCACTTGCATGAAGTTTGAAATACAAAGGAATGCAAAAGCAGATTCACCCTAGTAAGTGTTAAGTATTTACCGGAAAAAGTAATCTGATTCCAAGTACATTGTTTAGTTTAGGAGCTACCTTGTACAGTGACTATTTGCAGTTATGATTGATGTCAAAAAAGCAACTTTGTGACCAATCCTTGCATTTACAACCTTTCAGGTCTGTAAAGCAAAGGAAAAGTAAAGTAAGATCATAAGCATGCTTGCAGTTTGACTTAGTGACTGATTCATTTAACGACTGCCTCAATTTTGGTCCCTAAATGGGACTACCTGCAATAGGTATAAACTTTGGCAAGGCAAGTCCAATTTTCCCTACCTGTAGACTTTCTGCATCCAGTTCTGACTGCTCCTCTAGGGCAACATCAAAAAACAATTTGTTGATTATGTGTCTTTTCCCAACCTATAGAAAACATGTAAAAAAAAATCCCAGTAAATAAATGCGAACAATTGTTTCTAAAACAATAATTTGTATTTTATTGCAACACAATACAATAAAGTTATCTCAGAACATTAAAAAACAAAGCTTTCCTCAACATTAACATAATATGCATTTGTATATCCACTAGACATCTAAATTGTGAGATTGGAAACATGTTTAAGGATTCAAGGACAGCGGGGATATTAATGTAACCTACCAAACATGGGGGACTAACCCCAAGGTGACACATTTCCCATTTCTATTATCACTCTGCACTCTTTCCCAAATTTGCAGTCATCATTCCAGCACAGAGTTTTGGAATGTCGACAAAATATTTCATACACCTTTGGAAAATCAGTGCAATTTGTTCTCTGGCAGTTTCAGCTTAGCAGCTGAGGCTGAGCTCATGCTGTGCCAAATCCAAATATGTGCTATTTGCTTTATAAAAAAAAAATATAATTGAAATTGAATGTGATAGCTATCCCCACCTCCCCCGTGCAGCTACAGCTTTGTGTTCTAAGTATTATATGCAATCCTGACACTCGCTAATTGCATAGTTACTCTTTCACAAGATGCTATTTTGTTTCTTGCTGCATGGTAACCAGAGATGCAAGAGGTGGGGAACAATAGAGGGAACCAACAAGTCAGAAGAGCAACAAGGGCCAAACCCTGGCAAGGACAGAAAAAGGTGGAAGCACAATTAAATAAGAACATACTGCTTAGCACTCAACAATCGATTATCATTTGAAACTTTGTACTTCATTCTGTGTTGCAGAGGGAAAACACCAATATCCTGATTGAAGCTTTCAAAACATAAGCGGAAAGCTGAATGGAACATATTACATAACTGATTTAACTGGAATGTAAATTTAGTAATTTCAGTAAGAAAAGAACTTCAAAAATGCTCCTAAAATTAATAAAATAATTCACATTCAAATTGCACTGAAAAGAAATTAAAAAAATAGTTGCAACTGAGCTGTTATTCAAGTGTATCTTAATTTCAGTTAGATCACTCTAGATTTGAGCCTCTTCACCTGAGCAATGTCAACGGAAATCTGATTTCAAAATACTAGAATGGGGTCCGAATTAGACCAGTAAATCTTTAACTAAACCTACAATTTAATGCAGCTATCCCGTACCAGATTCCTTCCTAATGTGTTTTGTAATACTCAGGCTACCTACCATTGATGAATAGTAACAAATCATTTTTCTACAGTGTGCATCAATCTTAGCACAAGAGAAGCAACATTCAACTCCATAACAAATTTTACAGTATAATAACCTGTAAACTCGTGTTCCTATAAGAAAGTTTATGCTTGAGAAATACACGGCTAATGGGACTTCTATTAAAAGCAATCCGAACAAAGTAACAGAATAACAGAGTTGGGCAGGATTTTGCAGGTCTTCTACCAGTAGTCCAACTTTCTGTTAAAGCAGGAGACTTTATACCATTCCAGAAAGTGGCTGCCCAGTCTCTTCTTAAAAGCCTTCAGTGATCGAGCACCCACAACTTCTGAAGGCAAGTCGTCCCACTGGTGAATTGTTCTGTTAGAAAATTTCTCCTTAGTTCCAGGTTGCTTCTCTCCTTGATTAAGTTTCCACCCATTGCTTCTTGTCTTACCCTCGGGTGCTTTGGAGAATAGCATGACTCCCTCTTCTTTGTGGCAGCCCCAGAGAGATTGGAACACTGCTATCATGTCACTCCCAGTCCTTCTTTTCACTAAACTAGACATAGCCAATTCCGGCAACCATTCTTCATATGTTTTAGCTTCCAGCCTCCTAATCATCTTTGTTGCTTTTTGCACTTTCTAGAGTCTCAGCATCTCTTTTATAATATGGTGACCAAAAGTAGATATGGTGTTCTAAATATTCTATTCTAAATCATCTTCATCCAGCTTTTTTTTTCTTAAAGCTGAAGTCAAATGGTAGAAATAAAACTTCTTACCTAACAGGAAAAACAAATCCCAGGGGTTGCAGCTACCAATTCATGAGCAGAATACTTTATAGATGTGTTATTTATGCATAAATAAACCAGCACCTAAAAAGTACATCATTTATTGATGATCTACAGTTCAGGCATGATTTAAAAGGAATTTATACCCCAGAGTAGCATAAATATGGGCAAGTAGTGAGGCACTTTTGCTTTGGCTATGATGGCCGGATTCAAAAGATGAAATTTCAGTGTGGGGAACAGAGAGAAGGCAGGTGGGTAAATATCTGCTGGTGCTGCTCAACTGAGTATCCATGTGGTGCTGGTTTAAAGAAGGCACTTAGATGAGTGAATGTTTGCTAGTACTTGCTGATGGGATAACTGAGGCTTCCTGGAGCTGCTTGCTGCCCTATAACAGTGGGCGAAAAGGGGGAGATAGGCAAATGGGAAGAACTGAAGTGCCCCTGAGGTGCAAGAGCATCAAGCGCCTAAAGTTTGTTCATTGATCACAGGGTGCTGTAACTCTGGGTACAAGCTGTAAGTCCATTTTTTTCAGCACAGTTGTAATTTGAATGAATGGTTGTAAGTTGAGGACTACTTATAAAAGCAGCACTTCATAAGATTTTTTAAAAAAATATTTTAAATTTAGATCCTGCCATTCTGCCTAACAAGAAAACTCATGATCGCTAACATTAAAATATTAACATTCACATTTAAAATTGTAATGAAGAGAATTCAAAGGCCAAACATATTATTTAATTCCTAAAGGAAGACGAATCTGAAACTTCTGGAAGAATTCATCCCAATTAGGAAACCTCTAAACACCTTTTGAAAGAGGGCACACCTCTAACAAGGCCTCTCCTTCAGATCTTAATGTATAGGTAATACTCTCTGATATTCAGGACTAATTTTTATGTCTTTCTCAGACAAACAACTGGCAAGCTGTACAACCAATACTTTGTAAATTTAACAACCAAACTTTTTTTTTCCTACTAACAAACACTGCAGGACCTACCTGGATTCTGCACTGTGGACAGGTCCGATTTGGTGCAGTATCAAACCATTGGATGAGACTAGGGCAAATAATGACAGTGGGAATGGATAACAAAAACATTTTTAACATTTCGTTAAAAATATTAAATACGAAAAACAACCAAAGCCAAACAAGTAATACCGTGGTTTTGTTTGCATAGCACAATATAGCACAAGCTAGTCAAGCATTTAGTTTAGGGTATTGGTATACTCAATAAAGAAGAATATTTTTGACTCAGGGTTGAAATGAGGGATCCCTGGTGTTCTCTGAGCTTGCTAGACTTGCTACACTTGCTAGCATTGATGATGTTACTTAATGAACCATTTGCAAGAAAAGAACCTGACTGTATATATTTAGCCTATGAGGTTATTTTATGATTGGAACATTGTGCAAACTGAAAAAAAGTACATATCTATGGAGACATTGTGCAAATCCTTTCTAAAGGCAACCATACTTTCTAAAAATTAACTAGATTGCAGAATATAAATCCTTGAACAATCCACTATGTGGCAAATGAACACATATTTATTATTATGACTCCAAATGAGTTCAAAGTAGAACCACAAGTGTTTCCCCCTAGTCAAAGTACTGTACCATTATATACACTATAGCTTTCAAAGCTGTTCAAGTTTCACTGAAACCACAGCTTAAAGTAAATTAACAGTTTGCCAATAAGAGTAGCATGTCATGCTAGATTTTGGAGAAGCAAATGTAAAGTATTTCTAAACTTGTTTAAAAATGTGTATTATTTTAAGATATATACAAATATGTCTTTGGAATATATACGTTGCATGGAAATGTTATTTCTGACAGATCTTTAGAAAATATGCATAAATTTTACATACAAAATATGTAAGTGTTACTATAAAATAAGCTTTGAAATGACTCAGTAATATAAGTTCTTACAGAATTTAAAATCTTGAAACAGGACTTAACTAAACTATTCAATGTCATCATCAATTCTAATCAAGAACGAAATTTCAACTGCATTATATATGCAGAAGTAAGGTGAAAAACAATGAGGTAAAATACAAGTCTCAAGAAAGGTACTTAAGTTCTGTAAGAAAATATAACACCATTTTTATTCATATACTCACCACAAATGGTGGAAAATATGTCCACAGTGAATAGCTGCAACATCAGTCTTATTGTCAAAGAAATCAGAACAGATGGTACAATGGGCACGGATAGGCATGATCTATAATTTCAAAAGAACAATGTCAGGATCAAGCATGGAAGACCCTCTCCTACAAAAGAAAACACTTCTTAAGGATTTTAAATAAATGGTCCCACAGGAAAATGTATCAAGAACTTGTCCCAAAAGTGCTTTTTCAAAAGGTAGCTGGACTTTGTTTTTCCTTAAAAATGTTTGTCTTCTCATCCAAGAAACTTCTTCAGTTCTTCTTCAGTTCACAACCATGATTTGGATGACTGAGAATCTCATAGATATCTAGAACTTCTGCCGCACGTATATACTTGTTGAATATGTAGAATAGAACAGCCCATATCAGTGATTCAGAACATTAAGTTGTGTTTGATGACTGGAGAACAAATACAAATATCAAAGCTCAGCATTATTTTGTATTGTTTTATCAACCTCACAAGGGCTTTTTACAAATCAGAACATAGGATGTTATAAGCATTTAAAGTCAGTAAGAATGTTACTTCTCAAAAATGTCTTCTCCTTCCAAACTGCAACTGATATACAAAACATCCTATCCTACTCCCATCTGGCATTATTACATCATTGCACCCAGTTTCCTAACTGGGCAACTTATAAAGCAGAATAGAAGTCTGTGCAGCTCATAACGCAGATGCTTATCAGCAGGATTACTGACTACTTTGTAAACAAATCAGGGCCATTTCTCCATTGGAAGTACAGACTTTCTGTCATCCAGCCATTAAGGAGAAACAAAGCAGAAAAGCAGGGTTGGAAGGGACCTTGGAGGTCTTCTAGCCCAATGCACTGCTCAAGCAGGTAAACCTATACCATTACAGACAAATGGTTGTCCAATCGCTTCTCAAAAACTTCCAGTGAAATGGTGAAAAAAGTAAGGTTCTACATTTAGGCAAGAAAAACCAAACACACAGGTAAAGTTTAGGCAATACCTCAGTCAATAGTAGTAACTGTGAGAGGGATCTCGGAGTCCTAGTGGACAACCATTTAAATATGAGCCAGCTATGTGCTGCAGCTGCCAAAAAAGCCAACACAGTTCTAGGCTACAATAATGGGGGAATAGAATCAAGATCACCTGAAGTGTTCATGCCACTTTATATTGTCTTGGTAAGACCACACTTAGAATGCTGCATCCAGTTTTGGTCCCCATGATGTAAAAATGATGTTGAAAGAGTGCAGAGAAGAGCAACCATGATGATTAGGGGACTGGAGGCTAAAACATATAAAGAATGGTCGCTGGAACTGGGTATGTCTAGTTTAATGAAAAGAAGGCCTAGGAGTGACATGAGAGCAGTGTTCCAATATCTCAGGGGCTGCCACAAAGAAGAGTTAAACTATTCTCCAAAGTACCTAAGGGTAGGACAAGACGCAATGGGCAGGGCCATCTTAACAGCATTATTGGCTCCGGGCAAAGCAGTGTACTGGGGCCCCTATGACTACTCACAGGAATAAAAATGTAAATAAAATAAAAATTAAACTTATACTTATTTTATTGGCACTTCCAACAAATAAATATATAATATGTTGCTGTATTTATATGATACAAGGTGCATTGAAGGGTTAATATACACATATTACTATGGGGCCTCTATGCTCATACACATATATCTATATATCTATATATATATTGGTGGAAGTCCAAAGCTGGCTGAGGAATTCTGGGAGTTGAAGTCCACAAGTCTTAAAGTTGCCAAGTTTGGGGACCCCTGCTTTAGCGTGACACCTGGGATGTCTAATTCCCACTAGTTATCCCCCACTTGTTAAGGCCAGCCTTTTTTCTAGGTTGGGGGTGTGGAAGCTAAAAGGGCTAAAACAGACAAAGCAGCTACATTGGTTTATATCTATATTCTCTCCACCCTCCCGGGGATCAGGATGGGGGGAGGGGGGGAACGGCGCTTTCTCCACCGCCGCCGGGTTCAAGTCCTCCAGTAACAATAAATAATATAAATAAATAAATAAATAAATAGCCAGTTGGTTTCCAGGCTCTAACTTACGGTACTTATCGGGTTGGAAAATCAAATTTGGCTCCTTTCACCTTCTTCCGGCTGGGGACGGAAATGACGCGCACACACAAAACGGACACGATTGTTCTGGGAACGCAAGAGCGACGTTCTTGCCTCTCCGCGTATTTGGCAGAAGTCGGAGGGGGCGTGGCTAAGAGGCATCCGAGGTCCAGGCGCCCCTCCCGTCAGTGGTGCTAAACCAATGTAGCTAAACCAATGTAGCTGCTTTGTCTGTTTTAGCCCTTTTAGCTCCCCCCCACACCTGGAATAAAGGCTGGCTTAACATGTGGGGGATACCTAGTGAGAATTAGACATCCAGGTATCATGCTAAAGCAGGGGTCCCCAAACTGGGCAACTTTCAGACTTGTGGACTTCAACTCCCAGAATTCCTCAGCCAGTATAGCTGGCTGAGGAATTCTGGGAGTTGAAGTCCACAAGTCTGAAAGTTGC